CTGTTACTTCGAGCCTGTTCCGCCATTCTATCAGATCGTGGCTGAGCTGCACCTCTTTAAGCGCTGCGAGACGCCGTCTGGCGTGAAGGGCGCTATATAAATGCAAGTTGTTGTTCGTACAGTTGCGTCCCGACGAAGCATTTCGACGTGTTGTAGCACTTTTGAACCTTTTTGCTCCTTCAACCTCATCGACAACAATCTTCTTGCCCTCACACAGGGCGCGTCCTGAAGCTGAATTGTTCGCACCAAGCTATTTGCATTTCTACTCTTCCGGTTGACAGTTCGAGACATCTTTCGTGTTGCTAAATCCTCCTTTAAACGTATTTCTCCACCCCCCACCACCCCGGGCACCCAGTTTCGCTTTGACTGGTTTGCTCAACGTCCATCCTCCGAAAGACTAGCGTCACAGTGGAATTCTTGCGCTCAGCAACCAACTGAGCTGTGGTTTAGATACTGAGCCACGTTCTTGGTTTGTCACAAGTGCAGAGGAGCGTACTGTTCGTTTCAGTATCGCAGACGCTGCACTCCCTTCACCGACCCCCCCCCCGTGAACAGGAATTGGCGAACAGAAAAGCAATTTCCCGCGGTCTTTAGCCGGTGGCCTATTTGCACGCCGACACCACAAACGTGCCAGCCGCACGGCGAGGGCTGCTGGAAGCTGATTCCTTTTCGTACAGCCTTTTCTCGAGAGCCCCCCCCCCCCCCGTTCACTGACTTTCAACACGAGACTCTCACTTGGTACGCACTTTCACGTGATGAATTCTTGCTCCTCTGCGATTCCTGGATGGATGCAATTCCTCTCTCTCTCTCTCTCTCTCTCTCTCTCGCCTGTAGCTAGAGTCTGGAAATGAAAGAACAGGGGCAAGACAGACAGAAGGGAGAGAGAGAGAGAAAGAGAGAGAGGCAATGAGAGAGAGAGAGAGAGAGAGACAATTCACGTTGTGACCCGTGTCCTCACAAGAAAACACACTGACTGACCGAGGAAGCTCTTCATGCTGTCAAGACCAGTGAAATACCTGAGTAATTCACCTCAAAAAAAAAAAACAACCTACCATTTCTATAACCTACCTCACTCAACTTTAATAGCCAGACAAAGACACTGCCAAGTCTCCTCAGCAGAATGGTTTTCCTCGTCAACGGCACTTTCACCCCCCCCCCCCCCCCGCCCTCAACCCAACCCAAACCCAACCCCCAAAATCCTCGCCCGGCCTGATGGGTCCTGAAAGTCCGCCATCCGCGATTCTCTGCCTACCTTAAGAGGCTAAATTGCATTCAGACACCGCAGTCATACAGCTCTCTTCGAAGTTCACCAACTGCTCCCGAAGCCAAGCCATTCATTTCCACTGGGAGAAGCCAATCTGTGATATCTACTGTGAGCAGGTACAGTCGACACTAGAAGGGGGGGCGGGCGATCTCAAGGGCAACTAAACCTTGAAGGCTAAAGTCGAAAACCGCACTTGTATTTCTTTATACCCCAAACAATATGTCCCTTCCCTTCTCCTGGGTGACGGTGGGTGATTTGGCCTTCAGCTTGCTTGTGCGTGGCTTGTAATCTGCCTAGCGTCTTCTAATAATAAAAATCCTTGCCTTTGACGCGGCGCCTCATCGCGTCTTCGAGACGTCTCAAAGCGCTTCACGGGACGCGCCGTGAAGCGAATTGACTGTATGTTTCCCGGGCCGACTGCGGCAGCCAATTGCGCACAGCGACGTCCCCATAAGCAGCCGTGGGTTGAGTGACCTATTGAGAGTATATTGACAGACAAATGACTGTATACTTTGTGGGGTGAAACGTGCCCATTAGGCACCCACGATTATGGCAAGCGTTGTTTTCGAAAGTCTTCACCAGCCCAAAGATAAGAGTTGAGGTCTTGTAAGGGCAGGTTAATGAAGATCCTGTGATCTCCAGGATTAATAAGTAATTAATAAGCCAGAATCATTCCACCAGCCAGCAAGGAGTCGCAGAGGATGGGTGGGTGTGTAAGGGGAGCCTTGTAACTACCCACGGCTTGTGTGCGACCTGAGAGAGGATCTTCCAACACGGTGCTGACACAGTAATAATAATCCTTGCCTTTGGTAACGGCGCCTCATCAGGTCTTTCGAGACGTCTCAAAGCGCTTCACAGGGTACACACCGCAAAGCGAATTCGCTGCGTATTTTGTGGGTGAAACGCGGCAGCCGTTCGCGCACAAGCAAGCCACGCGCAAGCAGAAGCATATTACAAACCAAATTTGAACCCTGGGGACGTGCTGCTCCTTTCGACCCCCCCCCGGTGTCACAAGCGGCGGTGTGCGGGTGCGTGTTTTTTTTTTTTTTTAATACACCTCCTTTCGTCCATCCGTTAAAAACAGGGTCACCTCAGCACAGTGGTTCTCTGTCAAACGGTCCACGTCAAAAAAAACGCACGATCCGTTGCTGTCACGTTTCTGAAGGCTGTAACTTCGTGTTTCATTGGACGGGAGGGGAATGGATGGATCGATGAACTTGCATTCACAAATTTTCTATCCCCACCACCACCCCACGGCATTTGCACGTTCTCCCTCCGCCATTCACGCGATCGAGCAGCCTTTTGATCGCTCTCCGATTCCTTTCCGCACTTCTTCCACGGAGGGAGGGATTGCCCGTTGAGAGTTTAGTTGCCCTTACGTGACTTTTAGATGGAGCTGGTATTATTGCAAGAGTGTCTTGTCAAGCGCGCTCCGCAGGGGCCCCGAGCTCGGTCTGAACCCTGACATTCTCAAATCCCAAACCCGGATTGATTGCGTGTCAGGATTAGCAGCAATAATAATAACAATCCTGGCTTTTGATACAGCGCCTCGTCGCGTCTTCGAGACGTCTCAAACGCGCTTCACGGGACACGCTGTAAAGTGGACTGACCGTGCATTTTGCGGGCGAAGCGCGGCAGCCGATTGCGTTTGTGTAAACGTCCCCCCAAACAGTCGTTTCAAATTTCAAAAACATTTCGAAAGCTTCCTTGGAAGAAAAAAAACACAGGGCACAAAAAATGGACATGTCCCCCCGAGAGGGGGGGGTTCACCTCTTGAGCTTTGGGCCCCTTGGGTTCTCTTGACGCGTAAGAAACTTTTGCGATGTTGTGCAGCCCGTTTAAACCCTCCGTCCACCGGAAAGCAGCTCGAGTGATTTCTGGGGTTCAGACAAACAGCTGGTACGATTGAGAGGAGCCATTCGGAGCGCTCTCGAGGTGAAATTTTTGCTCTCGGGCAGGCTGACGACGTGGTAGTCACGACCCTTATATTTTTAAGCAGCGCCCTCTCACTTCGCCGAGACCCCCTCAAAGCGCTTCACGGGTTTTGCGCGCAGCCCCGTTCCACAAACGGCCGCGGACTGCGTGATCTATTTTATTTTAGATCGTGGCCACGATACAGAGAGAGAGAAAGAGGGCGAAACTCACTTCTCTTTTCGAACTGTGCAACGAGACCTTTTTAACACCCAACTGAAATGATATTTTTCTTTTCTGGGGGATATTTTGGCACCAGGTCGTTCGAGGCTCGACTGCGGGGAATTTTTTTTCTCGAAGGCAATCGAGAGCAAATCTTAATTTAACATCGGGTCTCTTTTAATTTGCAACGGGTTTATTTCTTTGGCGGGCGAGGGGGTGGGGGAAGAGAGCAAAGAGGTATTGCTTCTCAAACCAGTGCGCGTGGATCAGTTTTGATCGGGTGCTAACGTTTGGCTGAAACCCAAAATCACAGGCTCATTCACACATCGTCACCGACTCGGTTGAAACCCTTCATAATGTGCGTTCGACATCACAGCAATGGCCAATCTGTCAGCGAAATAGCGACCGTTTGGGACACACAGACTCTTCGGATCATTCCACCTATTCATATATGCACCTAGTTATATATATATATCTATATATATAAACGAGAAAGCTTTGTCGGGCAAGATTCACCCCTTTGCTCCCTGGGACCTGGCCTTCAGATCAGAGAGCTGCGCCACCTTCGTCAGATTTGCACAAGACCTTTCTTAGCTGGTAGGAGCGACAGTGACGACAAATGACACCCGTACCGCGCCCGTCAGGCCGGAAAGAGGGTCCCAGGGCGCCGCAGGCACGCCTCACTTTGACACACAGTTGGAACGTCACAAGGCAGGACAACCCAATTGCAATGGGACACGCCGCCAATTCCCATTCTCACGCTCTCTCAAATCTGCCAACCGCTCAATCACAAACGGCCCTGCCCGCCCGCCCGCCCGGCCGCGTTCTGTCTCGTCGAAACGAATGTCCTGTTGTGTGCTGTAAGCCGCCGTTGTTTTGACCGACCGATCGATTTGATATGTTTTTCGAACAAAGCGAATAAAGAACCACCACGTGTGCAGAGAAGCCATTCTAATTGTGATCTTTTGTTTCTCTGGTGTCGATTTACTGTAAAACATGAGACAGGGTTGAAGTGTCAAGCCTTGTGTTGAACCTCCTTGCAGCCCCGTATGTTTGATGGAGAGCCATCTTTCAAACTGCCCCTTGTTGGCTGTTGAAGCATAAATTGGTAAGGTAATGTGCCCAAGGACCTTGTTCTCTAGTGCTGCTGTAAGTAGATCCCTTTTATATATATACATATATATACCATCTACCTACTGTACTAGTTCCGTCTGAAAACTCTGGCATTTTTTTTTTTTAAACGCGCTGTTCAAATCGACTTGTAACTGCTCCGATCGCTATTTGATTGATTCTCGCAGATGTCTGCAGACAAATTCTTAACCTAGTGCTGGAAGCGGGGTGGGTGGGTGGGTGGGTGGGGGGGTGTGGGGGGTGGGGGTGTGGGTGGGGGTCTTGCCGTCTCTCAATGTGTTTCATTCGCAATCACTTTTGTCTGAAAATCGGGTGCAAGAATGTGACTTCCCTTTGCTTGCGTTCCTTTTGTTTTCCAACCTCCCCCCTCCCACCTCCACTCTTTCTTTCTCACTCTCTCTCTCTCCCTCTCTCTCACGCTCTCACTCTATATCTCTCTCTCTCTCTTTTCTCTTCTTCTCTTCTCTTCTCTTCTCTCTCTCTCTCTCTCTCTGTGTTCCAGAGGCCCCCAGCAAACGGGCCAGGCAGCCCGCCTTGCTAGGCGACGCCCCTTCTGGCTTCGGTAACACGCGAGGCTCCGAGTGCAGGAGGACAGGTGCGCAGTCCACACGTGGCTCGTTTCCGCGTCCCTCTCGAAGCGCGGCTCGTTTTCAAACCCTCGCCAGAAAAAAAAAACGTACCTGCGCTTCGTCCGCAGGGTGTCCACAAAGTCCTGTTACCCACTTCCCGGGCAGGGCGAAATGTTGGACGTGTTTCGTTACTCCACACGCAAACACGCACGCGCGCGCGCGCGCACACACACACACACACGCCTCTGTTACCCAACAGTAACTAGGAACCCGGTTTGTTAGTCGATAATCCGGGGGTAATAATCCCACCAAAGCAGTAAATAAATAATAATAATAAATTGGTCACTTCAATCCACGGCTTACGCGGGAGGGACGTCGCTGGGCGCAATTGGCCGCCGCGTTTCGCCCGCAAAACGTACAGTCGCTCCAGTTTACGGTGTGTCCCGTGAAGCGCTTTGAGACGTCTCAAAGATGTGGGAAGGCGCCATGTCAGATGCAAGGGTTTTTTTTTTTTCTTTTTTGCATAGGACCGGGAGGAGGCCATTCAGCCCCTCGAGCCTGTTCCACCGTTCTATTCTGTGAGATCACGGCTGATCTGTGCCTCAACTCCCAATTACCCGCCTTCGCCCCATATCCCTCGATCCCCCGACCTAACAAACATCTCTCCACCTCAGTCTTGACAACGTGAATGGATCCACAGCCTTTTGGGGCAGAAAGTTGCAGAATCCCACTAACCTTTGGATGAAAAACTGCCCCCAATTTCACTCCGAAATGGCTTGGCTCTAATTTTAAGATGTTACCCCCCCACCCCTTGTTCTGGATTACCCCCCAACCCCACCAGAGGAAATAGTGCCTGTGTAGCTGTCAGTCGAATCTCTTTATCATTAGAAACACCTCAATCAGATCACCCCTCAACCTCCTAAAAACACACGGGAATAGAGCCCCAAGTTTACGCAATTTAACCCCTTTAAGCCCTGGTATAATTCTGGTAAATCTGCGCTGCACCCCCCCCCCCCACCCTTATAAAGCACTGACCAGCAACTGGAACATGTGGAAGTGTGACGATAATTGTATTTAGAAGTACTTCATTGTATTCAGCACGAGCGTTTAACTGGACCGAAGTGGAGTCCCTGCGGTGTAGTGGTCAGAACATTGGCTCCGCGAGCGAGAGGAGCTGGGTTCGATTCCCAGCAGGGCAAAACGTTGGGCAAGTTTCTTTACTCACACACGCACACACACACACACACGCCTCCGTTAGCAGTAAGCAGGAACCGAGTTGTTAGTCATTTGGCGGATGGCTTTTCCGGGGGTAATAGTGTCTTTTTTTTAAAAAAAATGTGGTCACTCAATCCACGACTGTTTGCGCGCAATTGGCTGGCGCGTTTCGCCCGCGCGATACACAGTCACTACGCTTCGCAGTGTACAGCCGTGAAGCGCTTTGAGGCGTCTCAAAAGAGGTGATAGCTCGCCGTATCATACGCAAGGATTATTATTATTATTATTATCATCATTATCATCATCATCGCTGGCAGCTTTTTTCAGCTCCCTCCGTAGTGTCGTATCGCTGTTTTGTAACGGTGGGAGGTTAAGAGGACTTTGTGGACACCTCCTTGTTCTCCCCCCTTCCAACCCCCACACCCACCACACACCCCCCCCTCCCCGTCTCCTTAAGTGATGAGAGTGTTGAGTGGCTCCTGTGTAAAATTCCCCTCGTCCAGTGAACTCCTCGTCATCCCGTACTCACTGTTTGTCTCTTCGCTCAGGCTCTGGCTACCCACCTTCATCATATCACAGCTATTACGAAGATGAGGATGACTACGGGCCAATATCTCACTACGAGGGGAGGGGAATGGGACCCCCCCCACCACCTCCTCCCCCACCAATGGGGGGCTCGCGAAGAGGCCCGTCCCGGCGCTATGGACATCCGTACGGCCCCCCGCTCCCTCCCCTGCACGATGATTACGGCCCCCTGGCTGACAGTCCGGTGCTGATTGTCTACGGGCTGGACATGAAGAGGTTAAACGCAGACCGAGTGTTCAGCATCTTCTGTCTGTACGGCAATGTGCATAAGGTACGCGTCACCTTCAAAGCCCTCCACGGTCTTGCTCCCCCTCGACCGCTCCGACCTCCTAACCCCGTGTCAGCCTGTCCGCGCTCTCCGCTCGACGGACACCGGCCGTCGGGCATTCCCTCTCTCTCTGCCCCCACACTCTGGAACTCTAACCCCACAATCCCTCCGCCTCACCCCCTCTCTTGCCTCCTGCAAGTCCCGTCTGGAGATCTTCCTCTTCGACCGTGCCTTTGGCCACCCCCCACCCTCCCTGACATATACAGTCACTACACTTTGCAGTGTATCCTGTGAAGCGCTTTGAGGCACCTCGAAGACGCGATAAGGCGCTATGTCAAATGCAAGGATTATTATTATTATTATTGTTCTAATAATTATGTTTCAGGTGAAGTTCTTGAAGAGCAAGCCTGGGGCTGCTATGGTGGAGATGGGAGATGGGTTTGCAGTCGACCGAGCCCTGACTTGCCTCAACACCAACAGCTACCTGTTTGACCAACAACTAAATGTCTGGTGAGAGTACCTGATGATCGTTCTGCGCAGTTGGTCTTAATTAGCTCTGCAGAGTTTCGCGACTGGGCTTACACCTGCGTAGCTCAGTGGTTAAAGGCTTCGCCTCGCAAGCAAGAGGACCCCTGGGCTCGTTCTCCCCCTCACACTCCCTCTCTCTCTCTCTCTCCAGTGTATCCAAACAGAAGGTCATAGTCCCCGGTCAGTCGTTTGAGATGGAAGACGGCTCTTGTAGTTTCAAGGACTTCTCCAACAACCGGAACAACCGGTTCACGAACATGAAGCAAGCCGCCAAAAATCGCATCCAGAAACCCAACAACATGCTTCACTTCTTCAGCGCTCCTCCGACAATCACAGAGGAGATATTCTATCAGGTTCGATTTCAAGACCCTCTCCACTTGTCTTCAAATCCCTTCACCCCAAACCCTTCCCCTCTTCGACCGTGCCTGCGGTCACCTCCCCCCCCCGCCTCCGTGTCGCGCTCCACCAACAGTGGGACGTTCCCCTGCGTGAGGGGCCCAAGTTTGTGCGATGGAGGCTGAGATCTCTCCCTGGGGTCTGAACAGTTTTGTGGGTTGTGCGGAGAACCAACGAGTTCCTCGCTTTTGTCTTCCAGATTTCTGATGAGCTTGAGGTGAAGAAGCCGAAAAGTATTATATTTTTTAGCGGGAAAAGTAAGTCACTCCCATCACCACCATTGTGCTGAGAGTGTTTAATGTGCTTGGGTTATTCCTGCATTCCTGGGTGATGATTGTTCCTGGGCGTCCGTTGCTTTCTCTCTATTCCCCCGCGGAAGTCAGTAATTGGAATGGCGGGAAGTGGTCACTCTGCGCACGGGAAGTGTCCTCAGCAGCGACCGTACAACTACATCAAGTGCAAGGGTTAATAGGATTATTATTATTAGGATTATTATTGTTACTCTCGCTCTCTGGGCTGCGGTTCTTGTACAAGAAGGCGGCGTTGACCTTATACTTCCGCTTTCTTCCATGTTGCGTGGCCTTCCTCCAACCCGGTCCAGATGTGTCAAAGTCAACCCAAGGTAGGTCCCAACTCGCTGCTGTTCTCCCTGCCCTCCACCCCTCCTGATCCCAACCCCCCCCCAACTCAAGTCCAAATCCCTGACTGTCCAACGTCTTGGGACGTCCTTCCCGACGTGAAAGGCGCTGTACAAATGTTATTTTGTATTGCATTCTGATATTGGCTGCTTTGCTTCATTTAGCAGTTTGGTCAATGGCGGGGGCGGGGGTGTGGGCGGGGGATTTATTCTCAATTTTAATTACATCACGTCAGCGTTTCATTGAGAATTTATTGTTTGGACATTTATGTCATTTTGTGATAACTCCTTCCAAAAAAATAATATTTCAATCCACGACTGGTTTGTGAGTTACTGCTGCGTTTCGCCCACAAAGGACACAGTATATTCTGTGAAGCGCACGGAGGTGGTTCAGCGACAGAAGGCGCTATATCAAATGCAAGGATTATTATTATTATTATTTTAAGTGGAATTTGGAATAACTGCTGATTGGAGTCCTGTAGCTCAGGGGTTAGAGCACTCGCTTTGCAAGTGAGAGACCTGAGTTCAATTCCAGGCAGAGGGCGAAACCTTGGGCAAGTTTCCTTACTCCACACAGAGCCTAATAATAATCCCTCCAAAAAAAACCAATAATAAATTGGTCATTTTCAATCTACAACTGTTTGTGGGACATTGCTGTGCGCAATTGGCTGCCGCGTTCGCCCACAAATACACAGTCAATTCACTTTACAGTGTGTTCTGTGAAGCGCTTTGGGCCGTCCTCCCGACGTGAAAAGCGCTATATCAAATGCGAGGATTATTATTATTATTATTGTTAAGGCAAAAGATTTATGGAACGATTTTTTCTTCCTCCTCTGTGCCCCCTTCCTTTCCTCGGAACTTTCTGCGTTTCAAGGTGAGAAGAGTTCTTCTGGCTTGCTGGAGTATGAATCGAAGAGTGATGCTTTAGAGGCTCTTGTTATGCTCAATCACTACAGGCTAAAAAATCCAGGTAAGTGTTCCCAGAACAGCCAACGTCCAAAACTGCACACGATAAGAAAGTGGCATTTGCGTGGCGTCCTGTCGCTCAGCGGTGAGAGCACTCGCCTCGCAAGCGAGAGGGCCCGGGTTCGATTCCCGGGCGGGTCAGGCGAAACCTTAGGCAAGTTTCCTTACTCCACACGCGCACACTTAGCAGTGAGTCAGAACCCGGTTGTTAGTCGACTGGCGGATCGCTTTCCGGGGGTAATATCTCCTTCCAAAAGGTAATCAGAATAAATTGGTCACTTCAACCCACGACTGTTTGTGGGACACTGCCGCGCGCAATTGGCTGCCGCGTTCCACCCACAAAATCCACAGTCACTGCACTTTACGGTATACCCTGTGAAGCGCTCTTGAGACGTCTCGAAGACGTGATGAGGCGCTACATCAAATGCAAGGATTATTGCTGCGGACTTTGGTGTCGCTGACCGTGCAGTCCAGCGATTTGGGACGTCGTCCTCAAGTGAAAGGTGACGTGCAAGTGTAATTTGTCGTCGTTGTTTGTCGTCGAACACACGTGTCCTAAACGGTAACCTTCCTTCGGACAGATGGACCAGATCTGTTCACTCTCAAGCTGTGTTTCTCCACCACCTAATCCCGACTGAGCCCAGAGACGTCAAGGCCCCCTCAACGATCATTGCTTTCCACGTAAAACAATTTTTGTTCCCCCCGAGTCCAAACGATAATTTTTTTTTTTTTTCTTTTTTTTTTTTATTCACCGGATGCGGCGGCTTCTTGGAGTACAATTTGTATGTTTTTCAGCCAGACGGCAGAATTTTGTTATACTCTGTCCTGTAGTTTTTCTTAGAATTATTGGTTAACAAACGTGTGTTGCATTCCGTGATTCAAGTGTTGAAGATTGTGTGATTGTTGAATTACTGAAAGACGCACTCACTCCTGCACTGTGTAAAACTGTACACTAAGTGTGACAGCTATTAAGTATTAAGTAAAAAGGTCCTTTCAGTCCCGGTGGTTCTTTGTGCATTGGTGTCGGTGGCAGAAAGAGGACGTGGGTTCGATTCCCGTGTCAGGGCGAAACTTTGGGCCAGTTTTCTGACCCCACTCGCCTCGTGTTTGCCTCGCAGTAAGCAGCCAACCGGGTTGTTAGTCGGTTGGCGGATCCCTCTTCCCGGAATTATAATTATAATAACTTGGTCCCTCAATTCCACGACTGTTGGTGGGGACGCTGCTGCGCGCAATTGGCTTCCGCGTTTCGTCCACAAAACATACAGTCAGTTCGCGTTACAGTATATTCCGTGAAGCGCTTCGAGACGTCATCAAAGGCGCAATAAGGCGCTAAATCAAATGCAAGAGATTATTATTATTTATTATTATTATTATATTCCCATCGGTTGGTTTCCACGCGCTTCAGCACTCATTTTACCGACCGGGGGGGGGGGGGGGGGGGTTTCGCTCCACGTAACGATCAAGTGTTGGCACATCAGGAATTGACAACTTGGGGAGTCTGCGCGTTGTTTTTGTGACTCCTTCACCGGTGGTGGTGGTGGTGGGGGTGGGGGGGGGGGTGGGGTGTGATGTTCCTCGGCAGACGGTGTGAGCAAGTTTGAATAAATTGCTCCTAAATTGAGATCCGAGCGTACGTGACGCAGCCTTGGAGCTCCGGGGTGAAGAAATCTGCATCCGCGCTAGGACAGTTGAGACAGGAATAGGACAGGTCACGGCGCACGAAGCCTTGGGCAAGTTTCCTTACTCCACACGCGCGCGCACGCACACGCGCGCGCGCCTCTGTTAACCTGGGGGGTGGGGGGGTAACAATTCCTTCGAAAAAAATAAAAGGACTAAATCAACCAAATGATAATTTGGTCCCTCAATTCCACGACTGTTTGTGGGGACGCTGCCCGGCGCCGGGTTTCGCCCCGCGGTCACCTCACTTTGCAGCGTATCCCCGGGAAGCGCTTTTGAGACGTTCCCTTCGACCGTGCCTTCAGCGCCCCTCGCGACTCTCTTACCCCCTCCTCGCTCCCCTCCCTCCCCCCCCCCCGACCATTCCCCCGCCCTCCCCCAGTGCTCGGGTCCCGAGCCGACCGTCCAGCGCCCCGGGACGTCCTCCCGACGTGAAAAGGCGCTCCGTAAATGCAATCGCGGCGGTGGTGGTGTTGTTGTCGTCGTCTCGTCGACGCGACGGGGGTCGAATGCGAGGATTGTTATTGTTTTTATTCGCGGGGGGGGGGGCGGCGGCGGTGGTGGGGGTGGGGGGGGGGGGGGGGGGAGACGGCAAAATACCGCAGATGCCGGAAGTGGCCGGGAACACGCAACGGGTCAGGCAGCATCTATGGAGAGAGAGAGAGAGAGAGGACAGTGACTTAAGGATTCTCCATAGATGCTGCCCAATCAGTGAAGGAGGACCAATCAGAGGGCCGCACACCTCGCCGCCGGGGCCAATCAGAGCCCAGGGACGCTTGACGCGGAGGTCCAATCACGAGTCGAGGACAAGGGGCCGGGGGGGAGGGGTCGCTCGGCGGCGTCCAATCAGAGCGGAGGAAGCTTCGCGCCGGGGACCCAATCAGAGCGAAGCCAGCGTCACGCCGCGAGCCGGGGAGCGCGCGGGGTCCAATCAGGGTCGAGGACTGGACCAATCGGAAGCGGGGAGGGAGGGCGGCGCCCCGGTCAGAGCAGCCAATCAGAACGGACGCGGACGGATGGGCGGGCGGGGACTGCGCGACGCTGGCCAATGAGCGTCGAGGAAAACGGGGGGGGCGGGGCCGGGACGAGAGCGAGGGGGGGACCGGGGGCTGCGCGCGCAGCCGGTGTGCGGGCGGGGGAGGGGTGTTTTTTTTTAAGCGCGCGCGCCATGTTGTCCGCTCGCAGTCACAGCGAAGCCGAGGCCGGCGGCATCGAGGAGGGCGAGATGGCGTCCACCAGGCAGCAGATCTACGACGGGCGGGCGGCCAAGCGTCAGCGGACCGAGAACGACGGCGGCGGCGGGAGGGTGAGGGCGACAAACGTCGTTTATCCGCGCGCGGGTGCGCGAAAAAAAACCAACCCCCCCCCTCCCCTCCCCCCCCACCACCGTCCCGTCGTTTTCCTTCCGACGGGAGGGAGGGGAGAGGAGAAAAGAAGATGGGAGGAGGGAGGAGGAGAAGGGGGAAGGGGAATGGCGGCGGTGGGAAGGAGGGAAGGAAATGGCGGCGGTGGAGGAGGAGGAGACGGAGAGGAGTCGAAACGACCGTTGGGGTTTTTTTTCTCTCTCTCCTGTGTGTGTGTGTGTGTGTGTGAGGTAAAAGAAAATGGCCGCCGTTTGGTGGCGTCGTCGAGCGGGAGAGAGGGAATGGGGGGGGGGGAGGGGAGGGAGAGAGGGGGGGGGGTAGAGGGATGAGGAGAGAGGGGGAAGCGGGAGAGAGAGTGAGTGGGGGGGAGGGAGGGAGGGACGGGGGGTGCGGGGGGCGGAGTAGTGAGGGAGAGAGGGGAGAAGAGCGGGCGCGGCGGCTCCCAATATCTCTCTCTCTCTCCCCCTCAGTGCGTCTCTCTTTCTCTCTCTCTCTCTCCCGTTTTTTTTCCGCCTTCCTCTCGTCACCCCCCAACGCGCGCCGGGGCGGCCCCCAGGCCCGAGGCCCTTCACCTACCACGTGGCTCCCTCTCTTCTCCCCCCATCCCCCCCCCCCCCCCGCCCCCCTCCTCAACAAAAGCACACGCACAGCGTCTCCTCTGTCCTCCCCTCTCATGGCCTCTTCTCTCCCCTCCACCACACAAAAAAACACCCACCCACCCACCCACACAGCGTCTCCTCTGTCTCTCCCCTCATGGCCTCTTCTCTCCCTCTCCCCCCCCCCCCCCACCACACAAAAAAACACACACAGCGTCTCTGTTCCCCCCCTCATGGCCTCTTCTCTCCCCCCCCCCCCCCAACAAAAACACACACACACAGTGTCTCTGTGTCTCCCCTCATGGCCTCTTCTCTTCCCCCCCTCCCCCCCCAACAAAAACACACACACACAGCATCTCCTCTGTCTCCCCCTCATGGCCTCTTCGCTTCTCTTCCCCCCCCCCACAAAAAGAACACGCACACAGCATCTGTGTCCCCCCTCATGGCCTCTTCTCTTCCCCCCCCCCCCAACAAAAATACGCGCACACATACAGCGTCTGTCCGTCCGTCCCCCTCATGGCCTCTTCTCCCCCCCCCCCCCCCCTCCCAACAAAAACACGCACCAAAACAGCGTCTGTCCCCCCCCCTCATGGCCTCTTCTCTCTCCCCCCCCCCCAACAAAAACACGCACACACCCAGCGTCTGTGTCCCCCCCCCTCATGGCCTCTTCTCTCCCCCAGCCCCCCAACAAAAACACACGCGCGCGCGCACACACATCGTCTCTGTGTCCCCGTCCCCCCCCTCATGGCCTCTTCTCTTCCCCCTCCCCCCCCCCAGCCTTTCTTTCCCCTTCCTTCTCTTCTCCCGCTCCCTCTTTCTCCCCCCTCATGGCCTCTTTTCTTTCCTCCCATCCTTTCTTTTTCCCAATCCTTTCTTCCCTCCCTTTTCTCTCTCCACCCCCCCTCTCTTCTCTCTTCCACCCCCTTCTCTCTTCCACCCCCCCTCTCTTTTCTCTCTCTCCCCCCTCTTCTCTTCCCCCACCACCCCCTCAGCTATTTTACCCCCATTTCCCCTCCAAAGGGAATGTTCATCAACATGACATCAGGTGCAGTTGGACGTCATGGGGACTTGCCACAAATGGCATGTAGATTGTGCTGCTGACTTGTTTCTTCTCTCTTAACATAGGATGGTGGTTTTCTCGAAGACCCTCACAAGCCATCACCATCGGCAGTGGTCCATGTGAGAGGGCTGTCTGATGGCGTAATGGAGGCAGACCTGGTGGAGGCACTGCAGGAGTTTGGTGCGATCAGGTAAACACGAGTTGGGATGGGAACGGAAGCCCGCGAACGGGGGAAATCCGGAGTGGTAACGCTGTGTGGGGAGAAAAAGTGGTCAATTTACTACGCCTATTTGTGGGGCACCGCTGTGACACAATCGGCTGCCGCGTTTCGCCCACAAAGTTTACGGTCGATTTACTTTGAAGGGCCTCGAAGACACGATAAAGCGCTGGGTCAAAAGCTTGGTTTGGGCTCGGTTGCAAAGGGAATGTTTAACCTTACGAGTGTTTTGCCTGTTCTTAAGTAGGACCATTTTTAAGAATTTCTGCGGTCCATTACACCAATGCATACATTGCGTGTTGCCGAATGCAGCAGCTGGTCATGCCTTTGAGTCGAGCTGGTCCCTAGTTCCACTCCTCTTATGGCAGCGTTCATCAGCCGCAGCTGGTGGTGCAGCGATCTGCTGTGTTGGTTTCCGCGTGTGAAGGACATGACTGGCTCTTTGCTCCCAAGGTGGAACCTTACTGAGTTGTTTCCCCAGTTTACCTCTTGCCCCCACAGCTGGGGGTTACGCTTTTTAAGGTTCCCACAGACTTTATGAATTGGTCTTAAATGATTTAATAATGGATATTATTAAAAATGATTCACCCAGACCGCGCTAAGATCAAGGAAATAATAATTCTTCAGCAGTGTTGGATTATTTTAACTCATTTACCCGCGTCCCCACCGTTGTACTACCGCGTCCTGACCCCGATGTGGTTGGTGTGCGCAGCTATGTGGTGATGATGCCCAAGAAGCGACAGGCGTTGGTGGAGTTTGAAGACCTGAACGGAGCATGCGCCTGTGTCAACTATGCAGCCGAGAGCCAGATCTACGTCGGAGCCCAGCCTGCCTTTGTCAACTACTCGACCAGCCAGAAGATCTCCCGGCCCGGCGACTCCGACGATTCCAGAAACGTCAACAACATCCTTCTCTTCACCGTGATCAACCCCGTCTACCCTGTTACAACGGTCAGTGATCTCCTCCCTCGGCAGCCAACGGTGTTCATTGTTCGGGAGGGATTTGCGACCGATGCTGCGTGTTGGTAGGGAGGGGTGAGCATAGCAGCCAAGGCTGGTGGTGGCGGAGGAGCCGAAACATTGGTAACTAGGCCACAACGTGAGACACGCACAAAGTGTGTTGGAGTTACTGCCTGCTGGTTGCTCTGCTTGTTTCTCAGTGTTGATGTGCATGCGATTCTAGCACCTTATTGTGTCGGAGGTGTTCACCGCTTCCCCTGGCGCTGCACCAGCAGGTACTTGCAGAAAGTTAGTTAAGTGCCAGCACAGAGGGTGCAATATCAGTTTGTGTTTGTGCACGGGGGTGGGTTACTTCCTTGCGTTTAGATTTCATTTGTTGTGGTACGTCGGTTGGCAGATCGCTTTTCCGGGGTGGGGGGGGTGAGTAAACCCTTCCAAAAAAATAATGAAAAGAGTACAACTGTTTGTGCACCATTGGCTGCCGAGTTTCTCCCACAAAATATAAGTCAATTCACTTTACGGTATATCCTGGGAGGTGTTTGTTTTGTGAAATGATTTTGAGCTGTTGGTTGTGCAAGTTGACATGGCCTCATATGGGTTTGGGTTCTCTCTGCACGTGGGGAAGCTGGAGATGAGCGGGTGATGGGTGTCAATACTTCAACTGACTGACCTGTTCTCTTCCAGGATGTGTTGTACACCATCTGCAATCCGTGTGGGCCTGTGCAGAGAATTGTAATATTCCGCAAGAATGGAGTCCAAGCAATGGTGGAATATCCTTCACGTAGACGGCTTCAAAAGGCCCCTTTTAAGGGTTTTGTTTAACCTGATCTTGCCTCCGTTAGCGTTGTCTTTGAAGAACGGGGGGGGATTGATGTGCGTGCTGCTGGCTGAGGATAGTCAAGCACTTGTCTCCCTCCCCAATCGCTGATTTGGTGGCTCTTTTGCTGTCTGGATCCTGTTGATCCGATGCTAGGAGTCCTGTGGTTAGAGCACTCGCCTCGCAAGCGATAATTTGGACACTCAATCCACCCTTAGAGCTCTCACAACCCCCGCACAGTAAACTCCTGATAACTTGTCCCTGGCTTAACTGGTCACTACCAATTAACCCATCACGTAGTCGATATCCTGTCCGCATTTATTTATGCATTTATAATCCAAGTCCGTTTGTGGGGTGTCGCTGGGCGCAGTTGGCTGCCGTGTTTCGCCCACAAAATACACATTCAATTCGCTTAAGAGTATACCCTGCAAAGCGCTTTGAGACATCTTGACAGCATAATAAGGCGCTATTTCAAATGCAAAAATGCTTATTATTACTAAAACAACAGAGCTTCTGTGCGTTTGTTGCTGAGGCTGTGTCAGAACGCTCTGGAAGCCTCCTTCAGCCGTGCCTAATTTGGCACGAGTTTCCAGCTTTGTAAGGGTTTACGCACGTCTTGTGTGTGTTTTTTTTTGTTGCGTCCTTAACTTCAAGCACATTCGACTCAGTGCAGAGTGCTCAGAGAGCCAAAGCCTCTCTCAACGGAGCCGACATTTACTCTGGGTGCTGCACTTTGAAGATCGAGTACGCAAAGGTAGGAACTCTTCGTTTACAGCTTTACCTTTGTGGGTCTGTAAGGGGACGGCAATAAGTTGAATCGCAATCGTGTTATCGCCTTGGGACGAGTCACGACTAACCTATGAATTGTTCCTTGTAGCCTACTCGTTTGAATGTCTTCAAAAATGATCCAGATACTTGGGACTATACGAACCCTAACCTGGGAGGACAAGGTAATATCATCCGTTTAGTATGCGATGTTTTAGATTTACTGAATGCTGAATGAATTTAGTTGACTGGTGCCTTTTACTGTGCGGACACATTTCCATTTTATTTTTCGGAAACTGCATCCACATTTAACCCTACAACCATATTTTACAGTTCTAACTTTGGTGCTGTCAGTTATTCTCCTGAGTTCAGAAAAGCTTCCAGCAACATTGGACTGTTGTGGCCCATAGACTTTAGAACCCAATTTGTCCGGTCCTGTGGGGGTGAGGGGATTGGAACAACTTAATTTCCGTTGGTTTGATGGAAGGGATCCCAACTCCAGCACAGAGATGGCCTTGTTCTGTGCTGTAAACTTCTACGGTTCGAATTTCTGCCTTTTTTCTTTTAAAAAAAAAAAGACAAGTCAGTGAATCGCTCTTAAGCCCAGTGTTCAGCCTGCTTTGCATGGCAGGATAGATTGTCTTACCAATTTTTTTTTTTGGTGGGGGGGGTGGGGGGGCGCTTCCTTTTTTCCGCTTGAAATAGTTCTGTCTGTCTGGCGTGCTGTCGTGCAACAGCTGTCGACTCCACTCCGGATGCTCTCCGTGCCTCTGATCAGCTTTAGTGGTGGGTTTGAAGTGCATTCAAACTTCCCCCACTCGTACTTACACACTTTTACTCTGAAGCCACTTATGCCGCAGCCATTGATCTTNAAAAAAAAGGAGCCAAAAAGAGCCCATTTAGCAGCCTCCATTTTGCCAACGCGTAGGATTTGAAGGTGTCCCCGAGTGCTGTTCAAACGAGTGCTTATCCACTGAGTCCAGTTTTCATCGGTAGGAATTTCGGGCTTAAACCGGTGCTTTGTGTCATCCAGGGCAGCCTCTTTCTATCCAGCGTTCTGTGCAGCAGCTAAATACTTTCTTGGAGGCTTGTCCTCTTGTTGGAGAGAGATTTTCTTCATTGGTTTTGGTAAAGTTTTCAGACTTCAAGCCAGCCGCGACGAGACAGCTCACGTCAAGCCTTCCAGTTTTACTTTACTCACTGATTAATATTTCCGACCTTTCCACGATCGCAAGCTTATTTCTGTGCAGGGTCCCGACAGCCCAGAACTTGCCCCTTCTAATAAAGTCGTCCGTCTGGGTGTGTCATTTTCTAGGTACTTGGAAGGAAATGGTTGTAGGCGCACATCTTCCTGCTCTTATCTGATCGTGAGGTGAAACGTGCACTCAGTACTGTTCAGCTAAGTGGCTTTTCCATACACCTAAAGCCTTCGTTTGCAGAGGATCTCGAGTCTTGTGTGGAGCTTTTCTCCGGCGCTCTACCCATTGCATCCTTTTCAGGTTGGGTTGCAGACGACTGTAATTGTACAGTGTTCCAATGAGCTTCCCGTTGTATTCTCGGGGGTGGGTGGGGGGGCGGTTGTGGGAGGTGGGGTGAGATACTATGGCCAGAGGTGGTGTTCACCATGTGGAATGGCCACTTTCGACATTCCCGAGAAAGAGGCAGAACAAACCCAAATCATCGAGCGCGGTCCGCGCGACGTCCTCCGAAAACCCTCGGCGGGTGGCAACTCCAGGAGGGATCGCCCGAATGAGCACCGCGAAGGTTTAGGAGGCGTTCGGGACCCCTTCGTGTAGTTGGGCCACTACTTTCAAGTTGCGGTGGTGTGGAGCCCTGCACTTGTGGCAGCGCTGCCTTGGTTTAAAAGCAAAATGTTGCTGGAAGCTTTTCACACTTTGCAAAGATGTAACAGGGTTTGACTTTCCTTGGTTCCAGTTCATCCAACGTCCTTAGCTCGTGCACTGTCGATTTCGACTGGTTTCCACGGAATGGGATTTACTCCTTCACATATGTTCCGATATGAAGCAAAACCTTATGATTGGGGGTTGGGAGGGGGGGAGAGGGAGGGAGGAGAAGGGCGATGTCGCTGTCTGAATCTTGTACAGAAATGTTCTTGAGCAAAGTTGTAACAGCCGAGAGTGCCTCGTTCCTATCCTTGTTTGTGTAAGTGCCCTCTTTTTTTTTTCTCTCTCTCTGGGGCGCGGTCCACGGCGGTGCGTTTCACTCTCGATGGGGGGCATATTTGTCTTTCTGTCTCGCTTTTGATATTTTTTTTGAGGGGGGGGGGGGAAAATACAATTCCGGTTCATTCGCTCGCCGAGGAACGCGCGTGGCCGCCCGTCTCCAGCTTCCAGAAAGATGTTAGGCGGTTTCGCTATCGGTTCGCATTGTTAATTTACCCTTTTTTTTAACTTCCTTTCCACCCTCGTTAACGGATCGCGTTGCGGAACTCGCCTTTTTGCAGCTAATTAATGCCTTCGATCGTTTTGCGTGAAGTGAATCCCACCAGCTGGCAAGTGCCCTTTTGCCTTGGTTGCTCCTTACTTAGCTGCGGTGGTAAACAACTAACTACCAGTTGCATATTGACTACAGTTTACTGCTTGTAATCCATTGCCACCCTGACGTCCAGCTCTTTTTTTTTTTAATGAATAAAATGGGGCTCGGGGCTTGGCGTGCTTTTGCAGAGCAGCGTGTTACTTGGTCTATTGCGGCAAACAGCCAGTGTCGACCGAGGCTAAAGGATATCTCGGCCGCTCATAAATGCTGAGGCGGTGCTCATTCACCCCCACAAGACATTCTTTTCCGAATAGCCGTGTGCTTCGCCGCCGCCTGACTCGAGTAAAGCGCTTTAATAAAATGCGCCCTGCATTCTCTCACGAGGCAAACGAGTGGAAAGTCAAACCTGAGCTTTTATTTTTGACAGCCCAAACCGTTGACTGTAAATTTGAACTGCATGGAATTAATTGACCAGCCTTTCTGGTTTCCATTGAATTCTTTCCATTACTGATGCACTGCAGAATGGGATTTGTGTGTTAATAAAAAAAAAAAGAAAGTCCTGTCCCGAATCTAATCCTGACGTGCATTGTTCACCTTTTTTTACTGTGCACACTTAGTGCAGTACTGCTATTATATAATGCCTTTGAGATGAATGTTGCGTTGCCTGCAAATTGAAATCAATGCTGACTTTCAGCCGGGTGGCATTCCTCGTTCGATGTGGGGAGCGGTTTGGTGGCTTTGTGGGGGGGCGGGGGGGGCAATTGTGACTTATTTTTGTGTGCCCGAGATCCATTTTCGCGGTTAAATGTTGCGGCTAGCACTAAAGAGCGAAGTTGATTTTAAGCTTTGTTTTGTTGGCATTATATAATAAAAACCATTTGCTGGGTAAGGGCACACACAGTGCAGCAAACTAGGCAGATCTTTGTGGAGAAGCAAACAACAAACTTTCCTCATGTCACAAGAACAAGAGCAAAATACATCCATCCAGCGTGCCATACATTGACTTTCCAAGATATTCCCTGCAGCCACCGCGACCCGACATGCCATGATTTACATACTGTGAGGCCACTCCACCATTTCCCTGACTTCAGAAGTGAAGGTAATGGAGGTAAACAAAATGAGGCACATTCGCAAGAGATGTAACTGTGTCCACTTGCAAGAACTCTTCCGGTACGAGGTCAAAAAAAAAATCAAAAAAACAAACCAAACCCAAAAAAAAAAACACTGCCTCGCACGAACTGACACAGAATTTGGGGCGTTTGAACCCCCTCACTTTTGCTTAGAGGCGTTTGTGATCCTAAGGCGAGTGGGTTTACACAGCGCTCTGGACGCACATGCTGAATATCCTACCTACCTACCAACCAACCTACCTAACCTGCTGAAACCCCACCAGTCTCTACACTCCTACATTTCAGAGAACAACATTCAGGTATCTGCCATAAGCAGGTGCTACTCGGCAACACGCAGCTTCACCAGGAGGGAGAAAAGGCACATTGTGTGAGGCACATGACTGCAGCCATTTTGCGACACATTCCCAAATGGTACACCACTTCCATTTTGGACACCTATGTGTGGGAGATGTACACAGATCCTTACCAAGTAAGTCTCGCCACCACAGAGCCCAAGACCAACACATCCAACACTAAGGAGAGCGACATGGAGCAACACTTGAGTCTCATATTCACAAGCTTTTACAGAACCATTTTTGACATCTGTGGAAGAATCTCTTTTACCTGAACGTTGACTGTTTTTTTTTTAAAAAAAAAGACACTTGTGTTAAATGGAATTGTTAGAAGCTGGTTCTTTGCGTCATGTACAAATTTCTATTCATTACTGTAAAACCATGTAATGCAGGGTTGAAGCATATGTTTGATGGGCCGCCATCTTTCAGAACTGCAATAAGTTGCTGTTGAAGCATTGGGTGGTAAGGAAAAAATGCAGAAATGTTGTGCACATGGACGTTGTACTCTAACTCTGGCTGTAAGTAGACCTTTTTATGCCTTGTACCTTTGTGCCAATAGATCTGTTTAGACTTTGATGNTTTTTTTATATATTACTGTATGAATCTGATCGCTTTTAATGATATTGTATAGTTCTTTGTGTATACTGTTATCAACGGGACAAATTGTAAATGGTTCTAATGTTGTACTGGTTTTCTTCTCTTGCTGTTTCCTCTTTGTAACTGTTTATGACACTTGTAAATTGTCCTTGCGAAAGTTGTGTTTGATTGCTCAGCGGCAGCTCTGTGCAGTGCTAACCTTTATTTCTTTTCCCCCTCTCTTCCCACGCCCCTCTTTGTTTTTTTTTCCCCCCCTCCTGCAGGAGATCCCAACAAGCGCCCGAGGCAACCCGCTCTACTTGGGGATCATCCATCTGAATTTGGTGAGTTTGAATTTGTGGCGTAGTGGTTAGGGCGCTCGCAACGCAGGGGAGAGGACCCCCGGGCACGACAAAACCTTAGTCAAGTTTCCTTACTCCACACCCAGTTGTTAGTCGTTCGGCAGATGGCTTTTTTCCGGGTTTAACCCTCGCCAATCTTGTTTCTTGTATCAGCGACTTTCTTCGGACAGTGTGCTGGCTAAGGTTGAGCATTGGTTCAATAATGAAAAGTAAGTAGTAGTAATAATAATTTGGTCACTCAATTCACGACTGTTGTGTTTCGCCCACAAAACATAGTCAATTCGCTGCAGTATATTCCGCGAAGCGCTTTTGAGACGTCTCGAAGACGTGATAAGTCGCAATATCAAATGCAAGGATTTTTATTATTAATACACACTCGGCCTATTCGGCCCGAAACAAATGTCCTATCATTTCTACCCTCGCACTCCCTACTTTCTTCGTGGGTAACGAACCAGTGGTAAAATGTAGTTTTGAGTATTCTAGCGCGCGGTTAAATTAACTTTGAGTCGCTGTATAATCTGCTGGAGGTTTTCCACACGATAGAGGACGAGTTTTAAACCAAGTTTGCTTTGCTTTTCAGGAGCCCCACAAGGTGGTTACAGTCATTATCCTGAGGAAGATTACGGCCCACCTGCCCATTATGAACGGCGGAGGATGGGGGGACCCCCTCCAGTAGGGGGTCCCCACAGGGGTCCCAGCCAGCGCTACGGCCCTCAGTACGGCCCGCCGCCTCCACCCCCACCTCCGGAGTACGGCCCCCAAGCCGAGAGTCCCGTGCTGATGATTTACGGCCTGGAACCTGCCAGGATGAATTGTGACCGAGTCTTCAACATCCTGTGTCTGTACGGGAATGTGGAGAAGGTGCGTAGGCTATAGAGACTGGTCATTTTGCTCTGAAAACGGTGGCTAAGGCTCCTCCTCATGTTCGGGGTTGGTTGGTGATGAGTGTTGTGTTGGAAACCCTGACTAGTCAGTCCTATGCGCACGCGGTGGTTAGAGCGATCGGCTCGCAACCGCAACAGCTAATATTTGTACAGTGCCTTGCGGGAGGGCGTCCCAAGGCGCTGGACGGTCAGGGTTTTGGACCCGAGCCGGGGGTTGGGACCAGGAGTGGTGGAGGGTGGGGTTGCACACTGTCTTATTTGTCTCTCTCTTTGCAGGTGAAGTTTATGAAGAGCAAGCCTGGGGCTGCTATGGTCGAGATGGGAGATGGGTTCGCAGTGGATCGAGCAATCACTCACTTAAATAACAATTACATGTTTGATCAGAAGCTAAATGTTTGGTAGGTAATTTGTACCTTCACGTTCGGGGCAGGGGGCTTGTTTGCTGGGTAGGTTTCTTTGGGAAGGGGGACCTAGAGGGTGGGGAGGTGTTGACCGGGCACGGTCGAAGAGGAACACCTTCAGGTGCGACTTGAAGATGGGGGCACGGCGGAGGGATGGAGGGGGGGGGAGTGTTCCAGAGTTTCAGTGTGTAGTGGCTTCATCGACATTTGTTCCTGGGGGTTAGTCCAGCTTCAGTGTGGAGCTGGGGGTGCGTTGTATTACGGATGGTGACGTGCTTCGGGTGAGACCTGGAACCGAGCCACCCAACAGGGGAGCGGGTGATGAACTACGACGTGGGTGGAGGGGGGGGGGGTTGGGCAGAGGGCGGTGTGGCTCCTCTGTAAGCGCTCGGTGCTGACCGTCGGTGTGTCTGTGTGTGTGTGTGTGTGTGTGCGTGTCTGCTCACAGCGTATCCAAGCAGCAGTGCATCATGGCCGGCCAGTCCTACGAGCTGGAAGACGGCAGCTGCAGCTTTAAGGATTTCACCGGTTCCAGGAACAACCGGTTCACGACTCCCGAGCAGGCCAGCAAGAACCGCATCCAACACCCCAGCAACGTGCTGCATTACTTCAACGCTCCTCCCGAGGTGTCCGAGGAGGCTTTCTACGAAGTACGTAGCGGCTCGGCTCCCTTTGCGTCGTCGGGTCGTCGGCCGCCGCGTTTCGCCCGCGGAACGTTACAGTCAATTCGCTTCGCGGTGTGTGCTGTGAAGCGCTTTGAGCCGTCTCGGAGACGTGATCAGGCGCTGTATCAAGTGCCGTTGCTATTAATTTCCTTTGTCGCCGGCGGCCTAACTCCCCAACGCGGCGCTGGGTGTCAAAGGTGCTGTGCTTTGGGTGAGGCGTTCAAGGCTAGGTTCCAACCGCCTGTTCGGATGGACGTTAATAAAATAATAATAATACTTGCGTTTCATACGACACTGTTGAGACTTCACGCAATATACTCTTCCAACAGTGGGTTGACTGTTTTGCGGGCGAAACGCGGCAGCCGCCTGCGCGCAGCGGTGTCTCGCAAGCAGTCGTGGAATCAAATTATTATTTTTTTTGCCGTGAGTTATTGCCCCCCGGGAAAGAAATCTGCCAGTCGACTAACAGCCGGGTTCCAATTTACTGCTGGGTGAACAGGCGTGCGCGCGTGTGTGTGGAGTAAGGAAAATTGCCCAACGTTTTGCCCTGACCTGGAATCGAAGCCAAGTCCTCTGCTTGCGAGGCTAACCATTACACTGAAAGATCTCGGGTGCACCATTCAGGGGGGAAAAAAAAAAACCTCATTGAACACACCCGTTGGCGGGAGGTGGGAATTCTTAACTCTTCCATCGGCGGGAAGGATTGTACGGTTTCTGGAAACTCGGGGTGTGTGAGCTCCCGGTTGGGGGGGGGTGGGGGGGGGAAGGCGCTGAACGCCGCAGCCTCCCGTTTTGAGTCGAAAGCTGCCCGAGCCCCTCGTCTGCGGGGGAAATCGGGTTGGGGGGTCCCTGGTGGGGATGTCTCTGTGACGTATCTTCTCTTCTCTTGTGTGTTCCAGGTCTGCGATGAGCTGATTTTGAAGCGGCCAGTGGCATTCAAATTATTTTCAGGCAAGAGTGAGTACTTTTAAGATGTCTGTGGTGTGGTCTGGTCTCGCTGTCTGTTAGGGCTTTGGCCTGCAGGGCTAACGGGCTGCTGCGGGGTAAGAGTCACCGCTCCCAGTGACTGCTTCCCCCTGTTCAAGTCCTGCTGATGAGCCGAACCGAGTTGGTTTATCGTCATCAGTGCCCTGGAGTCCTGTCCTGCAGACAAGTCTGGCTCAGGGACTGGGCTTCAGAGAGAGACTGCCATCCCATGCAGACACTACAGAGTTATTGGCCCATCTTGAACCCCCCCCCCCTCCCCCCTCCCACCCACCTATATAACAGCACTAGATGAAGGGAAGGTCCATCCAGTTTGCCTTCCACTATCCTCACATGTTGTTTCCCAAACTATATACTGAATCCCCCGATATTGTTTCCTTCCAGAAACCTTGTCTCATTTGTTCCTGAAAGAATCGACACTTTCTACTTCCTCCATCTCCCTAGTAGTATACATTTACTACTCTCCCACTGTTGTATAGTAGTGTTTCAGTTTTTTTAATATATATATATGTTGTGTGTGTATGTGTTGTGTGTGTATATATCAGCAAAAAGTCGTGATATCTGTAATAATGATCCTCGCATTTGATATAGCGCCTTATCGCGTCTTTGCGACGTCTCAAAACCTTTCACAGAAATACCTAAAGAACCCCCCCTCAAATGTCATTATTTCTTTGTAATGGTATCACAACTTTTTGGTTATTCTGTGTGTGTGTGTGTGTGTGTGTGTGTATATATATATATATATATGTGTGTGTGTGTATACATAAGTAGTGTTATTTGTGTTATGTATATATATATATTGTGATATATATATACGCAGAAATGTCTTCCTTAACTTTTCCGACTGACTTGGAAGTATGTTGTTGAAGCGTGGATGTGCAGCTTCGCCTTGAATCCAGCCCGTTTCCTCTCGCAGGTGAAAGAAGTTCCTCGGGCCTGATCGAGTGGGACTCCAAGAACGATGCCGTGGAAGCCCTGGCTCTGCTCAATCACTTTCAGATGAAGAACCCAAGTACGTGATTCTTCAGAGGGAAAGATTGGAATGGGGGCGTTTTAATGCGCGCCCGTTTATTTGGGGCTTAAAAAGCAGTTCCGTCGCCGGGAACCACACCAGCAGGTCAGGCGAAAGGGGTGAGAAGGCGACGGAAAAGTCGGGTGGGGGAGGATTCAGGAGCTGACGGGGGTCGGTCGGTGCCGGTGATGGCGGAAGGCGACAGTGGGAGGTTATGAGGAAGAAAAGCTATGTCTTCGAGAACCAGGGGATGTGCGAATGGTGGTAGAGGAAGGAGGTGGGGTGGGTTGGGGGGGAGGGCCAGGCTGAGAGGAGGTGGTCCGGGTCTGCACGTCAGGCGTCGCCGCCGTTGGGCGCTGCCCCGCACGGAGGGCGCCGTGCGAGCGCGTCGGGTCGGCTGTCGTGTTCGCGTCTTGACTTGTGTTTCTCCCTTCACCAGGCGGACCGTACCCGTACACCCTGAAGCTCTGCTTCTCCACTGTGCAACACGCAGCGTAACGGCTCCATCCCGATCTTAACACCCGGTGCGGCGGCCGGGCCGGGCGGGCGGGGCGGGGCGGGCCGGGGCGGGCGGGCGGGTGGGCTGCGAGTCATCCTCTTGTGTCTGTATTTTTTTTTAGTATTTTTATGCTGAGTTGCTAACTCCAGTACAGTTACTCCCTTTCATTCTTGGTCCCGATTTCCGAACCTAATCATAATCCTCTTGTTTTTTTTTTCTCTCTCTCTCCCCCCACCCACCCCCTCCCTCCTCACCACCCTCTTTCCCCACCCACCCCACCCCCCTCACCCCCTTTTTTTTTTTTAATTTTAATTTGGCAAGACGATGTATTAAGTTGGGGACATTTTAAAAAAGAAAAAAAAAAGAACGCGCGCGCGAGGCGTCGGTAAACGTAGACGTTCGAGCGGGCGAACCTTTTCATTCTTTTTTTAAATCGGTGTGTGACGTGAGACGGGGAGGGGAGAGGGTGGGGGGGGGGCTGCAGAAATCTTGTTGGCACTACAGTTCAATAAAATTGATGACCGGTTTCAGAGGTCGGTCGGGGGCTGTGGTCTTTGCGTCGACGCCGCGCTTTATCCGAGGTCTCCGAAGCCCCCCCCCCCCCGCGCCCGCCCGCCCCAGAGAGAGAGAGCTCCAACCGTGTCACCCACATGTCCGCGACTGTAAGGGGCTGCACACCCAACTTGATTGCATTTCTGGGGGCTGGCGGGGAGGGGGGGGGGGGTCAACGATCCCCTCCAACGACAACAAAAGGAATCGGACGCTTCGATCCGTGGCCGGTTGCGGGGACGTCGCTGGGGCCCCGGTCGCCGCGCTTTACGGTGCGCCGTCCCCTGAAGCGCTCTGAGGCGCTGAGCGGTCAGGGATCGGGAGGGGTGGGGGCGAATAAAGGTGCGGTTGGTCAAAGAGGGCTGTCGTGAAGGTGGGGGGGGGGCGGGGGAGAGAGAGGGTAATCAGGTGGAGGGTGAGGCGGGGGCCGTGAAGCAGGTGCTGAGCGGCGGGGAGCGGGTGGGTGGGGGGGGGTTTAGGAAGGGGGTCACGGGGGGGGGGGGGCGTTAGCGTTGGGAGGGGCGGGTGTGGTGGTGGGGGTGTCACTGCTGAGATGGGGGGGGACGTGGGGTTGAGGTGGGAGGGTGGAGTGGGCGGAGTCTTATGACAGCGGTGTGGGCGGAGTCAGCGCCGAAGGGTGGGCGTGATCAGCGGCGTGGGCGGAGTCGGCGCCGGGTGGGAGGAGTCGGTGCCGGGTGGGAAGAGTCAGTGCCGGGTGGGAGGAGTCGGCGCCGGGTGGGAGGAGTCAGTGCCGGGTGGGCGGGACTGATGGCGAGCCGGTGCCTGTGGCGGGTGTGTGAGTATCTCCCCGCGGCCTCTTCCCCCTCTCCCCCCCCCCCCGTCCCCAGGCCTCCCCGGGCGGGTCAGCGGCCACGGCAGCCCGAGGCTCAGCTCCTCACCGCGGCCTCGGGGTGGGGGGGTGGGTCACACACACACACATGTACATACAACATGTACATACATACAGCACATACAACACACACACTATGTACATACAACATGTACATACATACAGCGCATACAACACACACACTATGTACATACAACATGTACATACATACAGCACATACAACACACACACTATGTACATACAACGTGTACATACATACAGCACATACAACACACACACTATGTACATACAACATGTACATACATACAACACACACAACACACACACTATGTACATACAACACACACACAACAGACATAACACCCACAGGCACTACGCGGAACCTGCACCGAAACTACACGCGTGTGCGCGCAACCTGCACAGGAACGAGGTAGTGACTGTGTGCGCGCGTGCCTGTACATGCGCGTGTCCGGATGTGTGCCTGTGTGCGGGAGTCTGTGTGTGGGCGTGTCTGTGCGTGTGCGCCTGTGCGTTTGCGTGTCCGCGCGTGGAGTGGCGGAGACGTGCCCGAGGCTGCGCCCCGACCCGAGCCGAGCCGGGGGGGGGAGGCGAGGGCTCCAACCCCCTGAGCCGCAGCTTAGCTTCCGTTGCGTGTCGTCACGGGCGCGGCGTGTGGCACGCATGTTCCGCGTGCACAGCGGCGCCCGCGCCTTGC